AAGGAACTACATAGGAACCTTTAGGTTAGTACAATCTGAAAGTTTAACCCCTCATTTCCCTGGCTTATCGGAGAAATATGTTTTTCGTTGTGAGGGTCCCCAGGCTTGGTTTTGTTCGTACGCTCCGATGCTGCATGAACCTCGACAGGAGCTCGGATGCTGAAGCTTAGACATTCCTACGGATTTCTTGATTCTGAAGCTCTGATATAGATGCGTCCACACCCCGGCACGTTAAAGCACACACGATGGTTGCGTATTTATGTACGTATGTATGTATGAGTACATGCATACATACACATGTAGGTACATGGTGCCTTCGCCCGGGCAGCCGCAGACAAACGCACACACACCCTAGACTTTCAACCCTGAGCCCTAAACATCAAACTCAAACCGTGAGCCGTAATCTCAAAGTCCTTAAGCACAACCCTGGGCCTAATTTCTAAAGTAGAAGTTTTGCCTGCTTATGAATAGCCTTATAAATCTCTAGACCCCACAACCCCCAAACCCCTAACCCTGAGCCCTGAACCCCGAAAGCCTAAACCCCTAAACCCTAAACGCTCAACTCTCGACTCTGAACACTAAACCCTAAACCCTAAACCCTAAACCCTAAACCCCCAAACCCATAAACCCATAAACCATGAACCCTAAACTCAAAGCCCTAAGCCCTAAGCCCTAAGCCCTAAACCCCAACCTCCTTGATTGATCATCCCCTGGTTTTGGGTACCGCCAACCCTCGAGTCTTAGCGACTGGCTGAACTGAGTTCTCCTTCGAACTTTTTTTGTCAGAAAACTAAAAGGTTTAGGGGTCTAGGGGTTTAGGGTTTAATTTAGGGTTTAGGGTTTTCGGGTTTAGTCCTACAGGGTCCGATGCCCTAAACCCTAAAAGATTTTTCCCGGGTCAAGGTGTTGATGACTCATAGTAAGTCCTTGACACCGGCGCAGCAGAAGTGGCCCCTATGCGCAGCTGGAAGTCAAGAGAGCGACGCGGAAGACTTTTGGGTCTATCCGTACGGTCTGCTGGACAGACAACGCCAACTTGACCCGAGCACAGACGAGCGACATCGGGCTGGACCCGAAGAATGCCCAATTTGTGGCCATGACACCATGCATTGGGAAGCGCAGACAATGCCTACGGGTTTCCTGAAACCCTGGTTGCGCTGCACGCGCTATCCTGGTTGCCCCTTCGCGTACAGCCCTCGACGCGGGGTGCTCCCCGATAAACGTCGTCGCGATAAGCGGCAATGATCAGCGGCAGCGGCTTCTGAGACTCTGACAGCTAGAACTCTCAGAGTTTTTTTTGAACAGCTGCAAAACTTTTGGGCAGAAAACCTGGATGTGCTTGGAGTCCGTGAGCTGGAGCGAATTATTGATTTTTTTATTGTTCACATTGGAAGTGGATTGCCTCGTACCCTCTCAACTGCGACGCAACCCTCTGTAAACGAAAATCATCATACGAAGTATTGCCTAATACTTTCAGTTCACTACGACACAACTCCACCCAAAACCCTGTTGAGGCCAGAGTGTTTGAAGACCTTAAACACTCAGTTTGAAGCCTGCACCCTCAAACCGGAATCCTGGAAGGCTCGCTGGTTTTCCAGGGGCCTTAATAGTTAGAACAGGGTTTTGGGGTAGAGTTTACTATAGTTATAATAAGGAACACCCCCCAAAACCCTATTCTGATATTAAGGCCCCTACAACCCTAAACCCTTATAGTAGCCCTTATAGAACCCTTTAAAGGAGCCCTTTAAACTTTGAAGGAACCCCCAAAATCCCTATTCTAATTATTAAGGCCCCGATGTGATCCCCGTAGTACCTTTGTAGAAGCCCTGGCCTTGTTAGTACCGCAAAAACCTGAGTCCTGACGCTAAACCGATAGGCCCCATAGTAGTTCGTTTTTGGGATTCCCGAATAGGATCCTAGATATAAGCCGAAGAAAGGAACTACTATGGGACCTATGGCCCAATTTGCAGCCTCAGAGCACTTACTCCAAGCCCTACGCCCTCAAGCATGGGGGCTGAGTAGGTCACTTTTTTGGGGGGGGACTTGTACAATCCTACTGCGACTGAAAAGGTTAACCTTTTTTCGGGCTAGGGTACTCAGCCCCTAAACCCTAAACCCCTAAACCGTAAAACCTAAACCCTCTTAGGTGAAGGGCACGTCTTCCGATGCTGCCCTGGAGGGCCTTGCGGGTGTCCGGCCTTCACTTTCTTAGGGTCTTGGGTTTCGGGCTTGAGGTGTTGAGGCCTGGGAAAAAGGGGGGGGGTGCTAAACACTATGGGGTTTAGGGTTTAGGGTTCAGGGTTTAGGGTTTAGGGTAAACCCTAAACCCCTAAACCCTAAACCCTTTTGATGGGTTTGCTGGTTCAGAGGAGTCCGTTGACATGCCATAAGTTCCTGGCATTATGGGCTCTGCCGAGGTTTCCAGGACGCTGCAGGAGACCGAAGGAGTTCCTTTTTTGGGGTTAGGGGGTTTAGGGGTTTAGGGTTTAGGGTTTTGGTTTAAGGTGTAGGGTTTAGGGGGTTTAGGGTTTAGGGTTTGCCCTACAAGGCTTATTGAAGCCTTATAGAAGCCCTATATATCCTAAACTCCCCACCTGTAGCTTGCTTGAATCAATTTAGGGATGAGGGTTTGCCCTGCCAGGCCGCTCGGACTTGTAGTTGCCTTATTTTCGGCCGTAATAAGTAGCATAGGGTCTTGGGCTCCTTGAGCGTATACATAGAAAAAGAACCCTAAAGGATCACATTGGTGAAGTGTTTAGGCTTCTATAACCCTAAGGGTCCATGTGCCCAAATAGTAATACTTTGGCCTTAAAGTAGTCCCTATATAGGTACTTTGGGGCCGATGTATATACTATTTGGGTACATGGACCCTCAGGGTAAGCTAAGCACTCTAGCAGTGCCATCCCCGACCTAGGCTCGAATTTAGGGTTTAGGGTTTTGGGTTTTGGGTTTTGAATGAATCACATGCATTATCGTCACGGTTTAGGGCCATTGTGGTTAAGGGTGCCTGGCATGTTTGGATCCGAAGACCATCTTAGCAGTAGAGTAGGTAACCTGTAACGTTTGGAGTGCAATATACTCCCGATATAATGCCAAAAGTTAACTTTTTGTTCTTCTAGGATGCTGGACGGCTAACCTGTGCCGTTTAATGGGCTTGAGTTGGTTTCCAGCTCCAAGCCCTAAACCCTAGCTTGCAGATGGAGCGAGGTCTTGTAAACATGAAGCTAAGCCCTTATTTGCTGTAGGACCCCAAATAAGTACCAGTATTATTCCGTTGGGTCCCTTATTATTGTACTTAGACTATACAGGAGCCCAAAAACCCTAAACCCCAAACCTAAGCACTACAAAGCGACTGAGGATCTTTACTCATTGGAGCTGACGGCTATCGCTCGGTCGTACGGGACAAGCTACCTGGTGGTGAATCGAAAGTACGCTTCCTTTCGGTTTCAGGGATGTTTCAGGGTAAGGGCTTAGGTCTTGGTTTTTTAACTACGGTTGATGATATAAATCCATAATAAGGAATATACCAGAATTCCGCTTCGCATAGTTTAAGGTCCCGAAGGTAGCATTAATCCAAAGCGTGCATTAACATGTCATGGGCGCGTACCGAAAACTGGGTCTTCTTCGATGACTCTCGTGTGGAAGTAGAGCCACGTAACAGGACATTCGAAGATGTACTGAGACGGGAATCCAAATCTATGCGAGCTTTTTAACAAATAAGCTTAATCAGTTACTAATACTATTCCGCATTGCTCTTTATTACAGTTTAAAATTATACTGTGCTATACTGCAATATACTATACTATACTATACCCCGGCCGAGACCCTAGTATAACTGTATATTACGGCCCCTGCAGTCAAGACTCTGTAACGTTATACACAACCCTTGCGAAATCCTTGTAGCACCCATCAAGAGAAGAGAGTGACACAAACTTCATATGAACTCTGTGCCAGCACTCTATACGTATCAGAAAGAGCATGTATATGTACACACCTATATACACATCGAAACCTCCTTTCTCCCCAGAAGAGCAATTTAAGCACCCTATACAACCCCTTCAAAGCCTTAAGCAAAATCCTTCCAGGAGCCCCCGCTAAGCGCCTTATACAAACCTTTCGATAGCCTTATAGAAACCCGTCCAAAAAGTTGGGACGCACTATAGAACTTCATAACAGCCTTATCGACACCTCGACACCCTGATAAGATTCTTCTACGCAGACACCCTGCAAGAGCCCTTAATTCTGCAGCGCCTACTTGGAGGTTCATGGGACTTAGCAAGTA